TCGTTTCGAAAAGATTAATTAAGTAGGGTTGTAAAACTAATCAGTTTGCAGCATAATTCTATAATAATTCAGCTATCTCAGGATGCCGGCTTTCGAATGCACTTCCTTCCGGTTGCATGCAAGAACTACACTCTGTAAAAAATAATTACTGAAGTAGCAAGAATTTTTCTCATTGACTTTCGATGCCTCCAGATGTCCAATTATATTTCATGGAAAACATGCATAAAACATTCATCCTTTTCCTCATTCAGTAGACAATAAAGTCTTCCAATCTTATACTTGAAGATAGGGTATAATTCGGTTTTCGAAAACTTTTCCAATTCCCGAATAATTTTGAACCCCTCCTACCGTCACACTTGGATTCAGGGTTTCCAAACTACAAGCCGTATATTTTTCGCGTACGGAAAGCCATACATTTCGCTACGGTAATAAAGCGGACTATATAGGGCTCATAAAATTAATCAGTGGATTTGATCCAAGCCACATTGGTAAATGCAGAGATATGACGATTTATAAACGGCCATTTCGCGGTATTTAAAAGTCCCAGTATTAGGAACTTTTTTAAAACCGAATTATGTCTCTCCTTCGAATATCATATTAGAAGAAGATGTAATTATCTACCGAAAGAGCGAAAGAATGAATATTTTATGTATGTTTTCCTTGAAATATAATTGGACTTTTAGGGACATCGAAAATCAGTCAGAAAATTGCATGCTACTCAAGTAGTCATTTTTTACAGGGTGTAGTTTTTGCATGCAACCGGAAGGAAGTTCGCTCTAAAGCCGGCACCCTCAGGTAACTGAAATATTATAGAGTTATGTTGCAGGCTGACTAATTTAACAACCCTAGTTAATTAATCTTTTCGAGACGAAAACGCATTTCGGAATTTCGGTTGATATTTCATGAGTTAGCCCAACTACTGTAAGTGTTTAGTAAAGTACGGTAGACATACTTCACTTTGAACCGCTGGATCAATTTCAAATCATAATGGCAGAGCTCTGTTGTCCGTAATTAGAACTTTTGAACGGAGCTTTTGCCGCTAAACAGCCAACGCTAATCAACAAGAGATTGCATCATCCTGCTGACCGACAATGGGTGACCTCATTCGGCTCAACAGACCCAGAACAAGATACGAGATTTAGGGTGGGAACTTTTGCTCCCCCCCTACTGATTATAATTTGTTTAGATCTTTTCAGTAATTTCTGGGCGGAAAACTCTTTGAAAAATCAATGATGTCAAAACCGTGCTCTCTGACTTCTTTGCTTTAAAACGAAATTGCTCTTTACAAAGAGGGCATTAAAAAATTAGTGGCAAGGATGTGGTTTATGGCCGGGATTACTTACTCCGAGGAGCATCTGTGTTGAGCAAAAGAGCTGGACATCTAAGAACTTTGTGGTATCACTATTTCTGATCTTCCATATTGTCACCAATCAAAACGAGACACTATTTTGACCATTTATTAATACAGTAGCATGAATTTACTGCCCTTTTGAAGGTATTCCACTGTTGTACTTTTACTCCGATGACTACCTCAAAGCATCTTGACACCCTCATGCAACAGCCATCACCAGGTCTTTTCTTTTTTTTCTCTGGTACGTACAAGTAAATATCGTCAGTTATTGTCTTTTAGCCCAATCGCTCCCCGGAGTAAATAACCTCAGCCATAAACCAGAGCACTGCCAAATTAGCTGCAAGGTGAACAGTTCTGCCTGATAAAGATGTCGATCATAAAACTAATTAAGAAATAACACATTTTCCGGTAAAAATTTGTCTTGTTATTCATTGAAAAACGGCATGGACTTTCGGCAGCCTTCATAGATGCCTTGACAAATAATGATTTAGGCTAATGCTTGAGACCCCTTTCAGTTTGAGGGGATCAACAAGAGCTGTACCAGACCTTAAAGTGAGACATTTATAGGCGAATATGCGCTGTTATGGAACCTGAACGCACTACTCGTCAGTGGCTCAGCTTAAAGGACACCGCGGTCTGAGCGGGGCAACAACAGACAACAACATCGTCGACCGAAGGCAAAATATGCCCAAAACAAACTGAGCGACAAAGCATGGCCATAAAAAAGCGCCGCGAGACGGCATTCAGGACAAAAACTAACCGATCGAACTTCGCTTGTTTTGTAAACACTGCTACGAGCACGAGCAATGCGACCTGATCAGAAGGGTCCGTTCCCCTGCAACTGTCCTGAACTTCACATAGAATCTCGATTGTGTGTGCTTGCGCTGCAGTTATCTCCTTCGGCGGTCATTGGTAGAGCGGGAAGTATAGGTTCCCTCCGTGCCCCCTGTCTCCCCCCCCCCCGCCACATGGTACAGACGGCATTGCGCCAAATTTCAGTGGAGGTTAGGGCTAGGGCTGCTGCCCCCCCCCCTGGGATTTAGCAGAAAGCCACCTGTAGTACGGGGGATTCGTATTGCCCTGTCCGACCCAGTTAATTACATTGGCTGACACCGCGCTGCCAGACCGTCGTTTTTTGCCTTGGTGTTCACACGAGCTTTATTCACTTCTTAAGATAGCACATCATTATGGTTTGCGTAACTAGGCTGAAAGAAGATTTCGTAGAGTACAGTGCATGACCGATCTCGCTAAATTTTGGCCGAAATTCCAAAACGCGCCTTCGCTTAGGAAGGATTACTTAGGTGGGGTTGTAATATTAATCTTCAGGCGGCATAATCCCATGATATTTCGAACACGCCAAGGTGTCAGCTTTTGAATGCACCTCTTTTTGACCTCCCACAGAAGGCGCACTCGGTGAAAAATGACTACTTAAGTAGCACGCACTCTTCGCATTGATGTTCGATGGTCTTATAGATCCAGATATATTTTATAGAAAACATGTATGAAAATATGCTTTCTTTTACTCGTTTGGTAGAGAACCGTGTTTTCTTAACATTCTATGCCCGAAGAAAGGGTATATTTAGGCTTTAAAAATGTTTCTAATTATGAGATTTTTTAAAACAATGCAATGTCCATTCATACAGCATCGTACCTGTCCGGTTGTCAATGCTTCTCATGAAATGTACAACTTGTCTTTGTCGGTAATAACGTTCTGCCAATAATTGATATTACCCAGTGTGTGACTCACAAGGCGTGCCCGTCGAGGGAGTGCGAATCTGAGAGCTCTTCTGCTGGGATATCAATGACAAACCTATGTGATGAAGGCAGGTGTCTTCATTCGAGAGCCTGCAAAATACTTTGCACAGTGGATTCAGCGAAACTGTACATGCTGTGATGGTCTCACTTTTTGACCTCAATAGATTTCACTCTTTTCCGAGTACATCCCTATCGGTAATGTCGGCGTTTTCTGCTGACTATATGCGGTCTGGCACTGGCCCCCGACGAGACAGGAAAGTGCACTTACCTCACGATCCATGCGGAGTAAATATCGATTCGCATTTCAGCGACCCGCTGCGTTAGCTATGCCGATTACGCACCTGACGCGGCCCCTGGTGCTCAGTTGTCTAGTTCCGTTCCTGTTTTCTGCCTGTCTGTTGAAATAAATTGGCTTCTCATTCGTAGACAATCCATGCCACCTATTTGTTTAGCAGATTATGAAAACCATAATTTTTAGTCAGAACGACTTACATGTAGGGGAAATGTTTCGTCTGAAGTCTACATTTGTTTGAGTCCAAATCCATCCTAGAAATGCTCCAGAGGATATCATCCAACAGAAACTCAATGCCACACTAGTAATGGAAATTTGCATTTGTCGATCGGAAAATTCCCTGCAATTGTTTTAGCGTCACAGCTGCTGCTGAGTTCACAGATGTTTGCATTAGGGGGGGGGTGGGGGGAGGGGTGAGAAGAGGAGACGCAGCCCATTTTGGACCAAAGTTGAAGCTAGTGAAGCAGATTTTAGGTAGCTCGAGGGTTTTGTGGTGACAGGGGCTACCCTTAACGTAGATCAGCGTACAGTATGCCCTGCTGAGACCTCACCCTAGACGTGACGGTTTTCGCTTCCCTTAACTGACAACTGCTCCCGCACCAGGTGACGCATCGGATAGTACACGCGAGCAGGTACTCCCCCCTCCCCCCGAAGTACAGGTGGTCTTGCGTTGAGGTTAGGTAGGGTAGGGTTAGGACACAGAACTAGGTTCCCTTAGTGGAAGTTAGGGCAAGGTCACCTCTACCACGGGGAGGAACCTATTCCCGGTTTCCTACCATGAAGTATACAAATGCTGAGATGGCAAGGCAGGATCCCCGACACGGAAGTTCTAGAACGGGTTAGAATCCTCAGCATACACGCCATGTTGAGACAACTTCAATTATGTTGGAGTGGCCATCTCGTGAAGATGGATGATACACGCTACCGAAATAGCTCTTCTATGGCGATTTCGTCACCGCTGCTCTCCGACAGGAAGGCCCCAAACGACGCTACAAGGGCACATTGAAGAATTCGGTAAGATTTGGTTTGGTAGCCCCACCTGATGGACACAATACTGTTGGAGTTGGGGTTAAGGTTTAGGATTGGGGTTAGGGGTTATGGTTAGGGATTGTTGTTAGAGGCTAGGGTTGGGGTTAGGGTTAAATATTAGGGTTAGAGGGCAGGGTTTAGGATTGGGGGTTATAGTTAGGGGTTGGAGTTAGGGTTAGGGGTTGGCGCGACTACTTCTCAGCCATTCAAATTACAACCGCGCACTCCCAATAGCTTTTTTGCATACAACTACTTGACTTCGTCGCCTGTGCGTTCCCCGGCTCCACCTGTAAAAACCTTTATTTCCACCGGTCCCTTATTAGAGGTGACGGGTTTGTTTACTTCAGCTGGGGCTACAAAACCACATTCGACCAAGAATTCTCTTAAGGGATTGCTTATCAGTCCATAGACCTGGGCGAACCGCGCCCGGAGCAGGCTGGTCTGAAGGAAAGAAGTGAAGATCGACGCTACCATCTACAAAGCAAATCGGATGGTCACCGCCAAAGCCAAACGGAAGGCTTGTATAGCGCAAGTGCTACGCCTCCTCAATTCCAACCATTCACCGCTTCCAGCATGCCCGCGCTGCCAAGGCGTATTCCGCTCATGAATCGATATCCTTGGACACCTTCGGACCCAGTGCGCCATCAGCCTGACAACGTCTACCTCTTTTCCCACTCTCGCCCCTGCCGCAAACCCCGCGCTGACCGCCACCCCGTCACCGCCGATCACACGGCCGCTGCCCCGCCGCCACCATCTACCGACACCATCCGACCTGCCCCAACCCCTGCATCGACCGCAGCGGCCAGCATCAGCCCCACCACGACTTCACGCACTCCGCCCACCGATGGGACGACGTCGGACGTCCCATCAGCTTCAAACATCTCCAACATCACCTCACGCGATGTGGACTTGGTTCATACCTGTCTCCATTGCTGTCGCACATTCACTTCAAACATCGGCCTGGTCGGCCACTTGCGGATCAATCGTACAGAGACTGGCGAACCAGTGCCTGGGACACCAATCTACACTCGTCGCGTTCTCCTCCGCTGCCCACAATGCCCCTGCACATTCACTCACCACATGGGCCCATCAGGACGCATGCGTATTCACAAAAGCCTGCGGAAGACAACAGCCGGTTACACCACGTCATCACGTTTCCCCCCACCAGCACTCACACCTCACAACACCATCACCAATCACAAGCACCCAATTGCCACCTTCTACGCCAGTGGGAAGTGTGCTACTCAGCTCCGTCTCCATGCTGCCCCTCTGCTGCATGTGTGATCCGAGTCTGAGACCATCAAGATGCGCCAAGCACCGTGGCTTCGAAAGCTGCCAACTGACCGGAAGCGCAGCATATTTTGGCACCCGCCTTCGGCATTCTTTCGGCCACGCAACTTACTCAGAGGGCTGATCGGCTTATGGAGACGCACGATTTTTCCAAGCCGTCTATTTCAGCACCACAACTCCCAACTGCAACTACCCTTTCATCAACAAACAACACTGTAACCGCGAGCCATACTCACTCTAATCCTGTGCCCCCTGTATATATCACCCGTCGTGGACGCCATGCTCATTTTCCTGACCGTTTGGTTACTCATGCTTTTTAGACACCAGCAACTCCTTCGGCGCCGCTACGCGCCACCTTCGGTCTAGCCGGGGGTACTGTGGCAGTTCGCGTCTCCTCGCTCTCCGCCTTTGTCACGCTGCCCTCCTGTCCGCCTCACACCGTGTCGATACGCTCCTGGGACGCGCGAGTGCTCGAAGCCAATCAACGCTGTCCCCACTCTGATTGGCTGGCGGACGTGGAGACAACGAAGGACGCACACACGCGCCCACAACACCTCGAGGGCGGACGCAGACAACAGCTTGCTTGGAGCGCGCTTACGGCGACTGCCCACACAGCCTTTGTGTACACGCTTTCCAAGCAGTAAAGTTTGTCCAACTCAAACCGTCTTCCCTGACTTTTGATTGGGAATCTTTATCTTGTCGACCACACAACCTTGGACAAGCTCAGTCCACGCAGTCTGTCCAGTTGTGTGTGTGCGTTTTGAAGAAAAGATGGTCACACCGGAAAGCGTTTATTTAGGTGCTGGCGTTTCAAAGACCTTGGTTGGCTCCCCACTGTCAAAGCGTCAAATCCACTTACTCCACCAGAAATTCAAAGTGGCATTTTACGCTTTGACGGTGGGGAGTCGACCAAGCTCTTCGAAACGTCAGCATCCAAATAAACCAGTCCCAGTGAGCTCATCTTTTTCTTCTAATCATCAGTCCAGATCTCTCAACTTTGCCCGTCTGAGTTGTGCGTCTGTGTTTATGTGGAGTGGCGGACTGGTGGGCTGAGAGTCAGGCTGTTACTGCTCCTTCTCAAAGTGACCTCTGACACTGTCACGCATTTGTGGGGAGTGTGTGTGCGTACTTTATGATTTGCGCCTCTCAGTCCATGACTGATTGGCTACTCGGCCTTTGAAGGGTGATGGCCCAGGCTAAGTTCAGGTCTACGTCTCACCCTTCTGGGGCTTAAGAGCTGTCTGTGCGTCTGCTATGCCATGATTCAGCAAACCATGACCCGCGGAGCCCGGTGTGCGCTGCCAGTCCCTTGCCGATAGATGCGCTTGCACTCTCGCTGGGTATACAGGTCGTGAACACGGCTGCCCAGTCATCCTCTTCGTCTGACCCGTTTATTTTGTTATTGGTTAAAATCCTCCCGGGTGGGAGAGGAGGAGGGAGTGCTGTAGACGCTACGAAAGTCTACTCTCACTATAAACTAATTCACGCGCAAGTCGCCGTCTCTGATGTCGCCCTGTTATGGAGCATGCGGCGGACAGCGTGGGTAACGACACCCGAACCGTCGTGTGTGTGCGCGCATTGCTATACCTGGCTTGTTTTGGTGCTAGGTGCGATGTCTGATGCTGTACTTCGGTCGGTTAAAGTACAAACATTTTGCAGTCGTAATTGGGTTGTCTACACTCCCGGTCACCCCATAGAAAGTCTAGTCCATCTGTCAAATTACTGCAAAAGTTGTGTACTCAGTGATTCCTATGCAAACTCGATCATCGTATGCCCTTTGATCTTATGGACTCTCCAGTGGTAGGTGTTGATGGGCCGACTTATGGCCTTTATGGATGGCAGAACCGTTGACAATCATCAGACTGCTCGTAAAGTACATCCGATCCCACCTCTCAAGGTGCTGAGTGAGGTTTAATACAGCAAGTATTAAGGAAGAAAAAAATTATCAAGTAGTCCCTTTACGCTCAAGAAGGTTCTATGCTCTTGATAAGAACCTCACTGGCTATTGATGAGAAGACAGAATCGTGGCACTACGGCGTTCGATGACTTTGAAGGGAAGATGGCACCTTCGCTAAGGAAGTTGCCCTTTATAGTTTTTAATAGCTTAAAGGCACAGTCGCCCTACTACAACTTGATGACAAAGTTAACCAATCGAACAACGACGCATCAAAATTGCCTAGGATTGTTACTTCCAAGCAGCAAGCCGATGATTACTCAGGAAGCAGCCGGGCTACCGTCGTAAGTAGTAGCGTTATGAAATAACTATAAGGATGGAAATACGTGGACTCTCGCGTGACCAAGTCGTAGAGTCTGCGACATCTATAAACTCAGGTTGATGATCAACGAAGTCAAGTACGGTGTGGCCAAGATAGTGACCTATGTGGAAGTACGGTGATGGGCAGCACGCGAGGGCCTATCAGCGAGGGACAAATTGTCAATCAGCACTGATCCAGCTACTGTGTTCGCGGTGAGAACGAAGAACTACAACCAACGCATGAAATGGTGAACGTGAGCTCAAGTTAGCGTCCAATTTCATGGGCTCTCACCTGTGCACATCTCAGGAAGACGTGAGTACGTCGACAATCCCTTCTCGAAATAGCATTTATAAGTGTATGACCGAACTGTGGACAGAGTCAGCACAAATTGGTGGAGGCGGTACAGTGATTTGGCGGGATGTTTGTTAGCGGTTAAGGGAATGGGCAGTTCTCCTGGGAGTGGGACAGTCGCGCAGAACATTAGCTCAGGGGCAACAAAGCTGAGAGCTGGCAAGTGCCAAATGGTGACCAGAGAGAGAGAGAGAGAGAGAGAGAGAGAGAGAGAGAGAGAGAGAGAGAGAGAGAGAGAGAGAGAGGTGGTCCATCCAATACACTGGATTCTCCATGGCACGGAGGTCAGCCGTCGGTTGGCGGTGAGACTTCTTGGCCATAAAACTGGTAACTGGTGAATAGGCTGTGGTTAGGACCCACGTGCCGCCGAAAAACAGTTCCGAATAGCTGGGGTTAGACTGGACGCCACAATTAATCGCGAAGGCGGAAGGTACCTCAATGGCAGCTACCCAGACAGCCCTGGAGGCTGCTTCAACATTTGGAGTTGGATCAGACCAGATCGCGACGCACCACTCTTGTCGTCGGGGTCTCATGCGCCACAGGGGACCACCGGGGTGTAGGTCAGTCTCGCTTACTAAGTCCGCGCGTGAGTCAGCTAGTAGCACGCGACTCGGCGATGAGGAGCCTGTTAACGCTCGCGCTCAGAGATCGACTATACAAAGCACGCTATTCAAGCAAAGACGTTGCCTTTCAACACGACACCACGGACATAAGGGTTGATGACTTGATTTACGCGCGGTAACTGTCCCAGTAAAGTTGAACCCCGCCATTGTGTCCGTCTTCTGTTCAGTGCACCAACTGG